GAGGGAGGGAGAAAGAGACTTAGTGATAACAGCACATCGGAAGTGGAATAATTTGTTAGGTTTAAACGAATGTTACATAAAATAAAGTATTCAGACTTATTACTTGAGTTGACTAATATCTCAATTCTCAAAGGAAAACGATTCTCCAAATGATTTTGTTGAGTTGCTTCTTGCCAATTGTCATATACTTACTTCTACTTAAACTTAATGAATTTTCACTGACTTTATGACTGATAGAGAATAAGTTGTTAATTGAAAAAATGAAGCATTCTGATTCTGACTATGGATTGATCAAAAATATTCCGGACATCCACGAAGGCAGTTCAATACATATGGTGGGTTGGACGCGATTCTTTGTCCAAAAGGAATGACGAGATCTTGAGCATGAGATGAACTAGGACTATTGTATGTTAAATAACATCGCTGGTGTTTTGTTTCAGCTGGGATATGTACGGTCTCTTATAAGACACGTGTAATGTTCGAACTCTCTTTATAGAATGTATAATCGATATCCGTTTTGCAACGAATTCAACTTAGAAAGATTTTTTTTATTTCCTTTAGATTGAATAGAAGATTTATTATAATATAATAGTTGGGGCGATTGCAAATTTTTCTCTTGTTTCCTGAAACGTTAACATATAATAATACCACAAAAAATCTTGTTAATAACAAAAAAAAAGATGATATCTTTCGTTGTGTAAGAGATAATGAAGCGCCTCTCCTACTTAACTGTCAACCTCACTCTCTATCCAGAATGGATTTGGTACATCCTGTTTTATATAAACGAGGCTTTGACAATCGAACAGGAGCGGTATAACTCTAACATCGAGGATGAAGGAAATAGCATCTCTCATTGTCGTCGAAAGTAATGGGAACCTACAACGACTACAGACAGAAATTATTATTCCCCAGGACAATCATGTGATTCTTGAAACTCTCTTATACTTTATTATGGCAGGAAAACCTAAAAGAATGGTCTCCAGTCCCGGACAGGTGTTAAATCACCAGGAGGTGGGTGCGAAGAATCCGGCTTGACATAGTAAAGCTGAGAAACAAAATAGGAACATGAAATGTGTGTACTCTTTACACGGCGGGTAAGCTTGCAAATGCAGTCAAGGAAATGGAAAGACTGCAAGTTTCCATATACTGGGAATCAAGATGGGCAAACAATGGATCGTATCAGTACTAGGGGACAATGTTCTCTTACTCGGACACAAATGAAAATGACGCAAATCACTGACATGGCGTGGGATTCCTAATCAAAAATTTATTGAAAAGATCTGTCAAAAATGTGACCTTTTCTGAAAAAATTATATTGTTGCAATTAGCTGGAACACTTAGATTTAAATTTAATCCAGATCTATCTTACTGCAGATCTCCTACTGCAGATAAACAGGATAACGAAGCGATTCAGTTTTACGAGCAGCTGCGGGAAGTTCTAAAAACAATAAAAAAACATGAAATCAATATAATTCTTGGCGATTTCAATGCCAAGGTTGGAAAAGGAGCAGTCGGAATTGTGGAAAGATTTGGATTCGGTATTAGAAACTACAGAGGAGACATGCTTGTTCAATTTTGCTTGGAAGAAGACTACGTCATCAAAAATACTTTTTACAAGCTGCCACTACGCAAACTATATACATGGAGATCGCCACAGGATAGTAATCAACAAATAGTCCGGAACCAAATCGATATATTAATCAATAAAAGATATTAAAATAGCATCAAAAGAGTGGCGGCGCATCCTGGAGCCGACATAAAATCGGATCACAATCCTCTAATAGAAACACTTCAGAGAAAAACAGGCTACAAAAAAAGCAAGAGCAAAGCATACGATATAGCCTCTCTTAGCGATACAGAAAAATGCGAAAAACTAAGAACTGAACTTGATAAGCGCATTAAATTCGATAACAATAACAATGCAGGGGAAAACATAAAGGATCAATGGCGGAACATCAAAAATAGTATTCTATCGGTTACAGAAAAGGTAGTAGGATATAAAAAAAAGAACCTAAGAAAGAATGACGACCGAAATCCTCGACATGATGAAAGATAAGAAGGCTTGCGAAAGGAAACACACAAAAATATAATTAATTACGGAGTATCAGCCATAAAATCAGAGAAAAACACATGGATAGCGAACCAATGTAGGGAAGTCGAAGAACTGCATGCGAAACACAATGCTTTCCATAAAAAGCATTTTATGAAAATTACCAATACCTTCAAGAAAACAAACATCTCAAAAATTACAAAAAATAAAATTGTAACTGACTTCCAGGATATCTCCAAAGTATGGAAAGAATACATCCAAAATCTGTTTAATGACATACGATTGGTAGCCCCAAGCGATATCATCAGGAATGCATCTGGTCCTCCAATATTAGAATCAGAAGTAATTTGTGCGCTATTTCAGCTTAAGAACAAGAAAGCGTCGGGGGAGGACAATATTCATGTGGAAGTACTCAAGTTAATTAACACCAATAAGCTATATCATCTTTTCAACGAAATCTATACACTAGTAACATCCCTACTGATTGGTTAACTTTCACCTTGTCATGATTTCAAAGAAACCTAATGCAAGAACGTGCGAGGAACACCGGCTTATCAGTCTCATGAGCCACACACTAAAAGTCTTTCTGAAGATAATCCACAGGAGAATATACAGCAAGTGCGATAGAATGTCAGGTGACACCCAAGATTCAAGAACAACCTAAGCACAAGAGAAGCACTTTATTGCATGCTACTAGTACAAAAACGTTACGACCAGCGAAAAAACGTATTTATTTGTTTTATTGACTATCAAAAAGCATTTGACAACGACATGATCTGTTACTACTGATCTTATAAGAGGCAGGCATTGACGAAAAGGACATCCGAATAATCCATAGGCTCTACTGGGACCAAACTATTATGCTCAGACTAGGTAATGACTCGCAAGCTAGCAACATAAGAATTGCCAAAGGGGTCCGTCAAGGATGCGTACTCTCACCACTTCTATTCAATATATACGTGGAGAAAATATTTCAATTGATACTTGGAGATCAAATAACAGATATAAAAGTAAATGGATTCCCTATCAATAACCTGCGATATGCGGATGATATAGCAATACTGGTCGAGAACATCCAGGACTTAAAGCAATGTTGAACATCATCAACAAAGCAGGGAAAAAATATGGCCTCAGCAATAAATGTAAGCAAAATCAAACTAATGATAGTAAGCTGACAATCCCACAAAAATGTAAATCTTCATCGGGCTTCTTGAATGGTCAACCAATTGACAGAGTAAACAACTTCAAGTACCTAGGATCCACACTTAACGCCAAGTGGGATAGCGACAGTAAAGTCAAGACAAGAGTTGCAATGGCCAGGAATATCTTTGTTAAGTTCAATAAGTACCTGCTGCGTCAGGAGATGCCCATGAGTCTTAGACTAAGAGTGGTCAAAGTGCTATATATAGTCAATATTGCTGTATGGAGTAGAAACATAATCGCTCAAAGTTGTATCCCTAAACAGAATTGAAGCTTTTGAAATGTGGATATTAAGAAGACTCTTAAAAATTTCCTGGGCTGATATCCTGAGCTCATATATCTAATGCAGAGGTCTACTGCTAACACCGTGCTAACACACATCGCCAACTATTAAACATAATAAAACAATCGGAAAACATCATACTTAGGACATATATTGCGAGGATCTAGATGCAACCTCAAAATCATCCTCACCGGGAAAATCGAGAGTAAAAGGGGATTAGGACGCAAACAACACTCATGGCTCCGCAACATTAGAAACTGGTATAACTGGTATAACTGGTATCATCAGATGCTGTCACCTTATTTAGACGTGCAGAAGAAGGCACGCTCCACATCGTACAATAAACATATGAACACCCACACACTACGAAGCGTATAAGCACTATAAGAAGAATAAGATCTTTCTGGACTTGTAAATAAAAAAGAAATTCCATTACATCAGCCGCGTATTCCAGAGAAAAAAAGACTCGTGAAGGCCACGTGAACGTAAACATGCTTATTTGTATGAATAAATCTGTATAAAATCTGTATGAATAAATAAATGAATAAGTAACATAATAAGACAAGATAGCAGACTTAGAGATAGCAGACTTAGATAGATAGATAGTATTTAAAACTTGTTATCTTGTATAATAACAGCATAATGATGGATATATGATGTATGATACAAAAAAAATTGAATTATTCTTAAATTGTACTAATAAAATCAAGTACAAAAAATACTGATTTAAAATTATATTTAGAGAAATAAAAATTAGTTTAAAAATCTTGAATTATATAAGCCTATAAAAACTTAATCTCATTGAAAGATATATGCAACACATCTCATTAAATAAAACATCTTTTTTTTTTGATAAATTTTTGTAATATCAAAGCTAAGATAATTTTTAAGATGTACGTAATAAAATTACATAGCATTCTGTATATATATCTTTTTTTATGTAAAAAAAATAATTTCAATTGCAAAACGATCTTTTAGACATATCAAATACAAAATATAGAATTAATACAATAAGGCAATAAAAAATTATTTACCTAAGTAAATATTTATCTAAGTATTTTAGTTGCTCTTTGATTTACGCATTTATCTAAGCGAATTTTAAATCTAAATTTCTTTTTTTTAAGTCACTAATAAATTATTTGGCAAATTACAATTTTTTTCTTAAGATTTTTTTATAATTTATTGTATTCCTTGTCTCAAAAAAATGACACTATTTCAAGTCAACGATTTCTTATATGATAATGTTTAATATTTAAAAACTTTTATAAAGTATTTTCATAAAAAATTTTTCAGGGTCAGTGAATTCAAATTTGATATTAGAACTTTGAAATGGCAGATTCAACAGGGCAATTTGATGATTAAAAAATAAATTTTTGTTATATTTGATGTCATTAAATTAAAAAAATATATACAGGGTGTCCGGCATCGATCATATCCTCTCTCGTATGCACGTTGAGCTGGTAAAACTGAGTAGAAAAGTCCTGTATCATTTTGCAATTTTCGCAATAATTATCGAGATGTGTCGATTTTGATGTGTCACGCAGACCGGTTGATGCAACTTATGTATCTAGGAATCATCTAGCGTTTTTCGGAGCAGCGACCGAGCTGGCACTCTCTTCTCGGTCGGCATATGAGACGGACATTTCTTACGCGAGAGTCAAGTCGAGATACTTAGTCGATCTTAGTCGAGTGTCGAATTAATGTAAAACCCTGCGCTTTTGAAATAATTAAAAGTTTGTACTGACAGTTAAATATACATTCGTTAGTGTTTTCTATTAATTGTGCATATTATTGAAGACGGAAGATCATTGCCAATTCCTCTTCCTCACTACTGCTATATGATGAACGTTCTTCCTTCTACGCTAGAGTCAAATAATAGGGGTCGAATACAAACGAGTTGGCAATCCTGATTTCGATTCGTTTATTTTAAAAAATTTGAACATTTAAAAAAATAACATCTTACATTATATTAGTGAGAAGCTCTTGCATTACTAACAAAGTTGATTAAATAAATCTCGTATACCGATGTATATGAATCGCAGTGTAATGTAAATCATGCATAAACGAACAACATATCAGTTCTTATACAAAAAACTAGTTCTAGATATTTATAAGAAAACAAGGTATAAATATTTGTTATTTTATTATTTATTTTATTAAATAAGAAAAAAGAAATTACTTACATTTTTTTTCAATTTTTCTTTTTAAAAAAGATTTTGATAGCTTTTTTATATAATATATGTAAATTTAATTCAACGGATCGGTTGAGATTATCTCTATTCTTCAGATATAGCAAAAATTTTTCATGTAATTTTCTAGATAATTACATAGTAAAAAATTTTTGTACCAATTTAATATAAGATAACATAAGATAATATATTACAAAGTAACACAGACTATATAAAAAAATTAAAACAAAATATAATATAAATTACATATAATATAAAAAATATGTAACATTTTAATTCTGCTTAGAAAAAACATTCTTATATTAATAAATGACTATAAATTAATATGACTATAATAAATAAGTATTCAGCACGGAAAAGATATATGATATCGATTAAAAATATATGATATTTACTGGTGGTTATTGATGGCAATCGCTGAAAATGACACAAATGATTAGACTAGCTAAGGCATATTTAATTAAACATTTGCTAAATTTTCTCTCTAAAATTAGAGAGAAAATTTCTGCAAGTATGCATTAACAAAATTTGACACTTGATGGCGTAATATTTTAAATTATTATTATTTTAAATTTATGTTAGAATATTTAACTAGTTTTTTCATAAAAATAATAAAAAAATTGCAAAGTATCGATGGAACACTGTTATTTTTATCATATTATGAAAAATAAAGTATTAAAACAAATATTTTTTTGTAAATATTTATATTAATCTTTTGCTGATTTTTCTGCAGATTATGCTTATGTATAACAAATAAATATTACAGAAAAATATTACAGCAAAATATACAATAATAATAAATAAATAGTAATAATAAATAATAATAAATAATATTTAATAATTTAATTATTTCATAATAAATAAAAATTAAAAAAAATTTTTTCTATATAAGATACAAGTTTATTTGTGGTTTCTACTTGTGTTATAGTTGCATTCAAAGTTTTTCCATAAAATATGGCAGATAATAATATCAAGTTTAATACATTTGAAACTACTTCTACAAAATCTACAGAAAACATTAATGAATATCAATATGTAATGGTGTTAAAAGATATTTGATCAGAATGAATTTCCGATTGATTTCAATAATTGGAGTATCTAAAAACAGTATAAATGGATAAATCAAAACGTTACAAAACTTTTCCCAAATGTACCACAGTCTTTACTGAATTTTATTCCGGCTGCTTATTGTTATTAAATTATCATCGATCTCCAGAACAATTATCTGGTTGGATATAAATAAATATCGTAGAGGGTAAAAGTTTGTGAACGCATTTCGAACGAACATTTCGCTGTTGTTATTTTATCCAAAGTAATAGGTCTCATATACGTTTATTCATTCATCGAAGAACTGAAATCAATTATTATGGGAGAAAACAGTCATACTCCGTATTTAGTATTCAAAAAGTAATTCTTTTAATTATTTGATTTATCTTTAAATAATGTATTGGTAAACACTTATATCTCAGACAATACAAATCGGGACGTAAGAAAGATATTTTCAAAACACATTAAAGACATCTTTCTTAAAGAATATCTGATAATATTAGCAATATAACATTAGCAATAACCGGAATAACCGGAATATTTTTATACTTATAGAATTGAAACACAGTAAAAATATTTGGTAAAAATATTATTGATTATTAAGGGAATTATTTAGAAATATTTGTAAGAATTTGAAAATCCTCACAATTAATTTACACAAAAAATACACATTGTTTAACTTTTTTAATTAATATATTTGATATGTACTAACAATGAGAAAATTATTTCAGTTTTTGTCAAACTATATTTTCCATATTAAATTATTTACAAAGATTATAATCATTCATAATAATTAATAAAATGTATAATATATCACACAGTATATAAATAATATTACTTATATAAATAAATATATAAATAAGTAATTAATACATATTTTCTTAAAAATACATTTTATAATATTTTAAAGGTTTTTTATTTACTATAAAACGGATATTGAGCTGGTACAATGGAGAACCTTGGAATTAAAAAGATTGAAGCATATAAAGATATGCAGATAGCACGCAGGATGCATTTGGCAATATGGATGAAGACGAATAAAATGGATCACGAGCAACTTGCCGTTGCGTGCTCATTCGCAAATCCATGGATTCCAGACCGTGAATTGCTTCTGAAGGATTTCGCTGCAATTTGCCCATTTGAAAAATTAAGACAACGCCCTTATATATGTATTAATAAATCGTCATATAAACCAAAATATATAAATAGCGCAATTATGTCCAGAGCAGCTTTTTAGTTTTGTTCTTGCTCTATCCACAAAATATTGAAATACACAACGTAGCCGACGAAGATCTAGAAGCATTCTGTTATATATGGAGATGTTACGGATATTTTCTCGGAGAGGATAAGTAGTAACTGTCAAAAAAATATTTCAAATATATTATTTATTAAGAATATATATTATACACACATACGCACGCGCGCATATGGCTTATATTGCTTTATAAAGCCATATAAAATATTATAAATCATATTATATATTTTCATCAGGCACAACTTTTGCCGTGGTAGTTTGGAAGAAATAAAACAATATATGCGAGACTTTTATCGTTATTGGACAATACAAAATTTCAAGGATATAACACCAAAGTGGGAACATTTGACAAGACGTTTTGTCGAATTTCTTAATTACTATCCTTATATATACTTACCTTATATAAGGCAATGATATTAATTATTACAGATGCATTAAATTTGAACATGTCTTATTTATATGCATCACTTAGTTACACAGAGTGGATTGTTTATAAATGTTTTAGGTAGATATCATATATTATATAGTTAATTTATAAAAAGAATCAATTTGCTGACATATGAATATTTGTTTCCTATACACAAATATTTGCAATATTTTATATAATTTCTAAAATTTCAGATTTACATTGCGTTACGCATTAAAGTTCTCAATTATAAGAGCCATTGTTAATGCGATGCGTAAGTTACTTAATGAAGCATTAAACTTTGACGTGAAAAAACTAGCAAAACTTCACAAGAAATCCAACAAAACATTATCAGATTTCTCTATTACGTATTAATATTTAATGAAAAATATCTTGCAGATCTTGCTAATTTACTTTTTGTCATAACCATTTTAAATACATCTTGTTTTTGGTGATACATAAAAAATATTCTTATAAATTACAAAAATGATTATTTAAAAGTTAGAAAAATAATTTTTTTTATATATTTAAAACAGGCTATTTTTCTGGGATATAAAAAGATTAAAAAATTATAATATTAATTTATTAATATTACATTTATTATATTTTAATCATACATACTGACAGAAAAAACCGTAAACTTTATAAACAGTTTACATTTCTCTGTTTTTTCTTTTTATTTTTTTATCGTCATCCTTTCTTAGTAATGGATAGATGGGTTTCTTTTTAAAGTAATAATCTTTTTTGTATTTGTATCATGTGTTACGAAATTAAATTTGTACCTTGATGTATGTTATAATAAAGCAAAAAGTAATTTAGTGTGAAAGACAATAAAATTCAAAAAATGTTTTATAAACAGTCTTTTTGTATAAATCTGTTTTCTGGAAAAAAGTAATGATAAAAAATTACATCAACAATGAAAAAAATTATGCATAATAAAAATTTAATCTTATTGAATTATAATTTTTCAATGCAATAAATTTGCATTTAACATTTTAATATTTATATATACGTGTATTTTAATTTGCAATTGTATTTATGAAAGATTTGCTGATATATTGAATTACATAAGATTTTTTTTTTTTCGGGGCGCAACATCCCGTGTCGGACCTTGGTCTCCTGAATACGGGGCCTTCAATCTTCCGGGAATTCCCCACCGGGGCGCTACAGCCCGTGTCGGGGCTTGGCCTCCTGAATACGATGTCAATCTCTCCGATCCATCATCCTCCAATTTCCCACTCAATCTGTGATTCGTTTGCCTTATCGCCGTCGTCTCTTCAATCCAATCCGAAGTTCCACTTCAGGTTCCTGAACACTATCTTTTTTACGGGAATGGATTGTGAGCCCATTTGTCAGCCGATTGTCGTCCTATCCCCAACCTGAACGGCCAGGTCAGTTTTTGGTTTTACGATAGGTATTTTATTTCCCCACTGTCCTTCGAGCCGCCAGTCCGCTGGCGGATTTCCCAATTTCAATGAGGACGCGTCCGATGAAGATAACTGACAAGTCCCCACCCAGGACTATGCAAGATTATTAAAAATTATTTTCAAGAAAATTTTAAAAGATTACAGTTACAAAAAATCATGTACATACATGTAGTAAAAAAGTAATAGGATTAATTAAAAGTAAAAAAAACTTAATACAAAAGAAATGTAATATTATTATATTGCTTAAAAATAAGATTTTAACATACATATTAAAAAATATTATTAATAATTATTAATTAACATATACTGTACTGTCAGTACTGAAATGTAGATGCGTATATGTAGAAATGCGTAAATTATAAATTTTCAGTACTGGCAATGTATATCGGAACATGGTCTGAATGCACTTATTCAGTCATATCAACCGATGAAACTTTCCAATAGATCACTAATCAAAAAATTTTATATTTAATTAGTCAATCATTGTTGTATGCTATGCTATCGAATCCCTTCCGAAATATATCATAAAAATATTTTGAACACATCTTGAGAATATATGACACATATCATGAGAATCCTGAAGGTCAATCATGTAATTTTACGTGAAATTTTTTACTTTTCATTTTTCATTTTTTATTTTTCATTTTTCACACTTTGACATTTCACGTGAAACTTTTCACATACAGCGATTATGTATGTAGCTTGGATGCGTGGAAAGGAATCATGAAACATAATTTCATAGATTTTGTAGCTAATGAAAATTATTTTATTGGTACAGTATTATATACATCTTTTAATAATCAATTGTATATGTACTACGTACATTTAATCCTAACGCAGCCCTAATCTTTTCTAATTCCGAAGCATATTTATTAATTCCCTAGATTTCCGTCTTTCCGTCACCAAGGTACATGGCGAAAAAGTTCACGTGAAAAATTTCACATTTTCACGTTTGAAAGAATTACATAATCCCGCAAAATCGTACATGATCATAAGTTCACGTAAAACTTTTCACTTTTCACGTTTCCGCCTTAGGAGAAAAGTTACATGATCGATCCCCTTAAGAGAACCGTCCCGTTGTGATTGGATATATCCATTCACATCGGCCGAAACTTTCCGAAGGTAGATCATCTATCAAAAAATTTAATAATTAATCGACCAACATAAATAATTGGATGTTAAACGGTAATATTTTTGGTGTTAATTTGTATGTGATTTTATAAATTGTGAAATTAAACCATACAGCATACGCAGCATATGTTACAATTTATTAGATTATATGTAAATTAATACGAAAAATAATGGAGATTCTAGAGATTGCACATAAATAGAAAGGTTACTAGGGAATACGGGAATGCGTACTCTTGGCGCATTTCTAATAATTTACTAGTCACAACGTAACATGAGAACGTCACCTTATGTATGTCGTTCCAAGCTGCAATACATTTAATGCTACAAATGCTTTCTGAAGATTCTTTGGTTCGATCGATAAAATTCTTTGTTTAATTGGTCAATCGAACGCTTTGAAGTATTTGTAACGTAGAAAAGACTGCAATTCAAGGCAACGAATAGTGTGCATACTCGATATCTTTTTTAACACGATATGTAAAC